GAAACAACACACACACACACACACACACACACACACACACACACACACACACACGCCCCCTACTCACTCTCAGGAACTCCGCCCCCTCCATGTCTTATAATAAGCCCAGGCAGGTTTGAGAAGGCACCCTATCGAATACTGCCCTTTCCCATCTGCTTTCCGGAAGTTTTCTAATCAACTCAGCAGTCACTGGTTGGTTGGTTGGTTTGGGTTTGAGTCTCTGTGCCAGCCTCCCTGTTACCTAAATGGCTGATCTCCCCCAGCCCCAGCGCTAGCCCCTGCCCCTGCCCCTGCCCCTGCCCCAGCCCCAGGAGTTCAAACCTGAGTCTCCTCTTCCTGCCTTTCAGATGGGCTTCTTTCGCCGGAGGTACAAAGAGATCATCGAAGCGGAGAAGAGCCGGAAAGAGAACGAGGACAGTTGGGACTGGGTCCAGAAAAACCAGTGACCTCGCCGCCCCCGTGGCATGACTCAGCACCCGCCCGTCGGCCTTGGTCTTTGTATCTTCCATATTTGGAAGAGAGAATCTTCTCCAGATTTTTCGGAGGCCCCACTGATGCTGTCCTCTTGCTCCTGAAATCCCACGCCGGCGCCAGCCCGAGGCCGTCCGCCCGCCCGTCGCCAGGTCACCAGACTGGAGCCACAACCACTTCCTGTCCGAGCAGCACCGCGCACCCTGGACAGCGAGCGCATGATGGGGCGCCGAGCAATATTTATGGAAGCAGTGTGCGAGGTCAACCCTCAGGGGAAAGCTGTACCTAAAGTATTTTTATAAATATAAGCCTTTTATACTGATGACGTCTTTATATTTGTATCGATGTTCTATGATTTCTATTAAACAGTTATATAAATTCACTCAAGCACTGATCGCTGACCTGAACTCTTGGAAGTACCTGTCCACGCTTCACGAAGTTTAAAAGGATAGAAGAAGAAAACCCAGACCTTACTGTACTTTGGAACTTGAGATACGGTGGAGGAACTGCATGCCGTGAGCCCACCAAGCCGCCAGCATCTGTATGAACTGCGGACGTAGCAAGACCCCTAAGACGGCGTGAGTCGTGTGCCTGCACTCAAGCCGGTTGACGCAGGGCACTAGGGAGCCAGCATTGGGTTTTCACAGTACCCCGCCTGGGAAGACGCCCAGCAGGCATTTGGGTGGGAAAACCTGGTTCCTCACACATCTGTTTTGGGACTCCTTTCTGCAGCCAACACCACCCACCTGCCTGCCACTCATAGTCACTACCCGAAGCTCGGAGCAGCCCCAGCAGGCCACCTGGTAAACCACCGGATGGCAATCTTCCCTGGATGCTAGAGAGTCCAGCATCGGCCAAGCAGAGCCCTGCAGAGAATGCCTTTTCAGGGTGACTTGAAGTGATGGTTGTGTGGGGCTTCGTCAACTGGATCTCAATGCGTAGCCACCCCGTGAGACAGAGCAGAGCTGCTACACAGGGTTTCCTCGGCTGTCATCTTACCGGGAGCCAAGGGCCCAGGCTTTCCTCCCTGGGGTCACTTGGTGGATTCCAGCCTTTCGGTCAGCAGCCTGGGTGAGAACCTAGTGCTTAACTGTCCCACCCAAACCCACTGTCACCACGTCGATGCTGACTCATAGTGACCTTATGTAGGATTGCCGAGGCTGTCAATCTTAACAGGAGCGGATCACCTCACCTTTCTCCTGTGGAGTGGCTGGTGGATTTGAACCATTGGGCTTTCCGTTAGCAGTCTGATGGTGACTCAGTGGTACCACCAGGGTCCTTATTTCCAGGCTAGCATTCTCCGCTGCCCCCTGTCGGGCATGCTCACCTCGCTCATGGCAACCATTCCTTCCTTCCTGGAGACAACCTTAATTGCTTGTAAGGGTCCGAGGTGGTGTTTCCAAGAAACAAACCCAGAGCTGCCAGTAAGAGAGGGGGTGCCGGGGGGAGCCAGGCAGGGTGCATTCTCAGGGAAACCCTGCGGAGGAAAGCAGCTGCAGCCTGATCTCACAGGGCGCTCTGGGGGGAGATTGTCGCCTCGGAGTTGGGCCGAGCCAAGAAAGGGGAGCTGGGCTTGCTTCTGCTGTGGAGAAGGCTCTCCCTCAGAGCCTGCCAGCAGCACAGCTCCATTGGTTAGCCCAGTCCCTGAAAGAAGAGCTGCGGGGACACCCCCAACCTGGGGAGGCACACCAATGGTATAGTAGAGTGGTGCCGATGGGCCTGGGCAGAGCACTGACACCCCACCCCCCACTCCTGCCCTCCCCGACCCCTGCTCAGATTTATGCTGAATGATGGCTTCTCATGGCCAAGCTCTCTGGGTGGCCCTGCTAACTAGCGCCTGTGCTGGGCTTCCCCAGTCTTGAGTGCCGGGTGACTTTGTAAAAGGGCAGTGGAATGATGGAGGTGACATGCTTAGCCCTGCGCTGGCTCATGGCGAGCACTCGGTCACTGTCCGCAGCTACAACTGCAGTGACCACCACTGGTGCACAGCCATCTACTGAGGGAGAAAATATCAGTCTTCGAGCCCCAAAGAGGCTCATGAGAGCCTGCTGGAGCCCCAGGTACCCAGAGAGGCCATTTCTCGAGACCCGAGATCAAGGACCATCATAGCCTAGGGCATCCTTCACTAGGAGCTACTCTGCTGGAAGAGGAGCCCTGGCACCATGGTGGTCACTCATTGGGTTGCTAACTGAGAAGTCATCGGTTCAAAACCATCAGGGGCTCTGTCAGGTTCGCTACTTCTATACAGAGTGAAAGCCTCAGAAACCCACAGAGGCCGCTCTGCTCTCTCATCCAGGGTCCCTAGGGATCTACTTGAAGGCTCTGAGTTTGGTTTGGGGGATTGGAACCGGCTGGCGGCCTGTGAACGTGGTGGATCGACTCAGAACTGGGCCTCAGAGGAGACAGGTGATCCTTGTGCAGCACTGAGGGCACCTGGCAGAAGCAGACCTGGCTGCAGCCCCGTGCTTCGTTGTGATGCGGTTGGCTTTGATGCAGGTAGCTAAGGAATGTGTCCCACTGCCCTGCCTGGTGGCCATGGGACTGGGCAGCACAAGCCAGAGGCATGACCTCAGAGTGAAGTTAGGGTGTTCCTTCTCACCAAGAGGGGTGGCACTGAAAATCCCAATACAGAGGCAAAAAAAGAAAAGTCATTCTCAGATCACATGCATTTTATCAAAAGCAATAAGAGGGGAGCTCTGGTGTGGGTTCAGTCACTTGCTAAACAAATTCTAAGGGGCAGCTGCTATATGTCAGGCCCAGTCCTGGGGTTAGAAGTTGCCCTCGGGCACCTTTTCCCCTGGGATAACAGACAGACCACAGTGGCCACCGAGCTGCCCTGGGCTCGAGTTACACCTTTGTTTGAGAGTTTTGAGCTGGGCTCTGTAGGGTCTTTACTGAGCAGGATCTTCAAGATCAGGCAACACCCTCTCCCGGTACAGAGTATAGGGTGCGGGTGTCTTTTGCTCCCTCCACCCCCCACCTTTGCAGCTCTTCTTTGCTGGTCTCCTGTTAATCCTGTCATGTTTTCCTGTCGTAAATTGTTGGGAATCCGTAGGCCCAGGAAAGCCCCACCAGCAGCCTTGACTAACTGCATCTATGGGCACGAACCGGCCCCTGTGGGGTGGGGGCAGGTGCATCAGAGACCGCATAGAAAGGTGATTGGCCGGCCCACCAAGGCAGCCTTGAAAAAAACTGGCTGTACCTGGCACCTCCTAGCACAGATGGTGGCCACCCAGGAGCCTGCTGGTGAGAAAGAGGGTGCTTCGGATGGTCTGATTATGCTGGGTAGCATGCGGGGCTACAGGGCCCTGGTGCTGACTCTTTGGTACGGTGATGCGGAAAGGGACGTCAGGCTTATCTTTGGCGCTCTCTGCTCGGGCAGCCTCGCCAGCTGTGCCCCAGTTCAGAAGCACTCAGTAAGCAGGCAGGCTAGTAGTGCCCGTAGGTTGGTGTTCTTTCTCACAGGCGCAATGCGGTCTGTGCTGCCTCTAGAATATTCCTGTAAAATTCCACGCGGTAGTAACCCGACATTCACCCTCCTGTCCCCGGGGGTGTGCTGGGGAATCCCACCCGCTCATGTCGTGGGGGCCGTTGTTGCTGCCTGCCTCTGCTCTTGCCGGTGCGTTCCGTAAGGCTTTAACCGGTGGTCAGAAGACTCGAGATGCTTTTTCAACATGCAAAGGCTTGTAGATGTGGAGTAAAACAATGCCCTTGGAAAAAAAACACCCCCCAAATAAACCCATGATCCCCTCGTGCTTGGTTTCCACGGCTGTTAAGAGAGTGTGGACTCTTTGCAAAGTGAGGCCGGGACCCTTCCCGAAGAGGGAGCCCTGACGATTTAGGAACAAGGAGGAGCGGGTTGGGTCCCTTTGCAGCAGTGCGATTACGGGCACGCCTCCCTGTCACTTGCCACTGAAGTCAGATTACGGGCACACCTCCCCGTCACTTGCCACTGAAGTCAGATTACGGGCACGCCTCCCCGTCACTTGCCACTGAAGTCAGATTACGGGCACGCCTCCCCGTCACTTGCCACTGAAGTCACTGGGTGCTGCCTTGGGCAGTTCTTCAGGAACCGGAATACCGGGAGTTTGATGAGCTTTGTAGAAAACCCCACAGGGAGTGCTCCTTTACCCAATCAGATGTCCCTTACGGCCCCTGTGCCAGGGGCAGGGGTGTCACTGCCAACCGGCTGGTGAGCATCTGGGGCCCATTTTCAATGTGGAAGGCTAGTCGGCTGCCCCCCAGGTGATGTGTGTGCCCTTAGCTACCTGTGTCACCCGAGTCCTCTTGTTTCTCCAGTGGATTCGACTGCCATTACTTTTGGGCGGCAGCAGGATGGCCAGGTAAGAGCAGTAACAGCTGAAGTTCCTGAAGAGGACAAAGGTGAAACGTTCACTGAGAGTTAGAGGTGCTACAAACGACGGCTATGGGGAGAGGGGGCGCTTCAGCAGAGAGATGGCAGACAGCCAGTGCCTTTCAGAAATTCTCCAAGTACACGGGGCTGCGGACAATGTGCTGTCGGATACACAGAGTAACCTGTTCACAGGACGATAGTTTTCTGAAACAGAGCACAGTGGAAAGTCTTTGCTCAGCAAAGACCCTACAGGCCAGTGGGGCCGAAATGAACTTTCTGAGACTGCCTTCTGAGTCAGCACAGGAGAGGGGAGTGGGCATGGTCCTCACGCGGAGCAATACTTTGTAGCACACTGATGGAGATTTCCAACTTTTAAGATTTTTTTAAAACCTCACGTGCACGGTGTGACTGACAGTGAGTTTAAAGCTTTCAGAGTGTTTCATTGCATGGCAGGCCACCCACGCTCTCTCCACTTCCTGAATTGTACTGCTGTGTCCATGTACGGTCCCCGGAAGGGGTTCTGGTGGGAGGACGGCCCCTCCCCACCACTTCACGTGTGTTAAGGTCTATGCAGCCACTTCTAGTTCACTTGCACTGTTTGGGAAATGCCAGGTTTACAAAAATACGTGTTTGGAATAAAAAAAGGAAAAAAAAAGGCTGCAAATGATGCAGGAGTCTGGTCTGTCATTTCATTGCGCTTGACGCATCTGAACCTGCTGTAGGAGGTTAAGGATAAGGGTTTCAGTGTCATACAGCATGAGCTTCAATAGCATCTCGACGTTCATCAGATTCTACGTGAACAAGTCACTCTGGGTGGCTAGACTGCTTCTGTCCCTTGGCCTGCAGACCAGGGCCCATCACCTGCCCGAGGGCCACAGGGCCACACCCGAGACCTCGGCCTAGAGGTGAATTGAGACCCCTGCCAGAGATTCTGACTCAGCACCCTTAGAGGACAGAGTAGAACTACCCCTGTGAGTTTCCAAGACGGTCAATCTACGGCAGTTGAATGCCTCACCTTTTCCCGATGGAACAGCTGGTGGTTTCAAACTGCCGACCTCGTGGTCAGTACTTAATTCATTATCCCGGTCAAGGCAAGGTTAAACAAGGCAGATTCGTTATTACCAGTGTAACGCTTCTTCCACATGCGCCCGCATGCACGTACCTCCTCCGCCTGCATCCAGGCATGTCTCCAGAAGCTTGTGTTAGCGTTCTTCCATGTTTGTTGTGTGTGCTACCCAGTGGATTTCTGCTCGTCATGACCCTCTAGAACAGACGAGGGCTGTCCCACTGCGTTCCCCAGGCTGTAATCTCTGCAGGCGTAGACCACCAGGTCTTTCCTCCGGCATGGCAGCTGATGGGTGGGAACCGGTTAACAGGTTAACAGCTGAGCACTTTCACCGCTGCACCACCTGGGCGCCTGTCCTCCACCTGTGACTGTTTGCTTAGCGTTCTCATCGCCACCCGCCTCGTTAGGTGTCGTTTCTGATCCCGGATGAGGATCAGGCACCCCCCTTTTTCCTCCCTAGATGAGGCCAACAAAAATGTACTTATTTAATTGGTCTTTTTTCAAGAACGTTCCTATGACAACATCCGTCAAGGCCACTGGCTGCTTTTCTCTTCATTCTCCACCACGTCCATGTCTGAAGTGTCCTCCGTCTTGACGGTGAGCGTGCACTCACGTGCCCGCCAGTGTGGCGGTGGTAGGAGGAGGGGCCCAGCAGGGGGAGCCACACGTGGGCTTGGCGGTGGTTTTGCTTTGTCGTCTTGGCCTTCTCTCGGCTACTCTGAGTTTTCTTATTTGTCTGTAATAGCACGCATCTCTTTGGTAGCGCGGTGATTGTTCAAATAAAATGGCGTCTGGAGGCACCAATAGACCCCCCAAATCGTGGGTCTGAAAAGGAAGGGTTTTTTGTGACAAAGAGCCCTGGCACACCTGATGCTTAGTAAGTGATTTCAAGCATCAGAACTCCAAATGCTTCCTGGCCTGCCAAGACCTGCCACCACCGCTGATGCCAATGGAATATGCTTCTTCACATGGTTCCTTAGCCAGGAACCAAAGCAAAAACACTCTTAAAGAATAAAAACAAAAAACAAAATGAAGAGGGGGAAAAAAAACCCAACCAATGAGTCAAATCCACTTCTCAGTGATGCAGGAGCTTACCACCTACCAGCGTATCGCTCATCCTTCAAGTGTGACTGCTTGTGGGTTATCGTCTTCAATAATAAAGTGGGTGCCAGCCCTTGACCTAGAGCTCTGCCCACCGGAGCAGACCAGTGAACAGCCGTCAATGAGGCCACCTGTCACGTCTGCTCACTTTCCACAGATAGCCAATTAAAGTGTGCAGGACACAGTTCCACCTCCTCCCTGCTGACGTCTCCGTCTGTGCCCTCTGAGCCTCCTTCCACCTCTGCTTCCCCTCAAAGCCTGATCCAAATGATGCTTGATGCTTTCTTTTTTTT